TTTTTTTTTTTTTGCCTTGTCCATGGACAGGGAGTACGGGCAGTTGAGCGTTATTGTTCGCTCAGGTAGTGTAGTTGGTGGTTGCTGATATTGCCGTTAGGCGGGTGCGCGTGGCGGGGKTGCACGTGCCATGCGTGCAACGTGCAGTACTTGTGATGACGGTGGACGACGGGCGAGAGGGGGGCGGGGTGGTGGTGGGGTGAGGGGTTTGATTGTAAAGAATGCAACGTTGCTGGTACCTAGAAATGCTTCCGTATTTCGAGGGGAATCCCTTTTTGAGATTTGAGTTTTCTTCGCTCACAATGGTGTATGCAAAAAACAGTTCATTCCGCATTTCTCTTGTTGTTATGTAGAAGGGAGCTGCTATTGTATGGGTTTGCAACACAGTTGTTTTGGTCCTTCGTTTCGAAGATTGTTCACCGCTTTGACTGCATTGACCTTCGCCTTTCCTGATCGTTTACCGCTCTCGCTCCAATGTGGTGTGTTGTATTTTTTTAGTTTGTATTTTGGTTTTATTTATTTGTATTTTAAATTTTGTTTTTTTTTGTTTTTTTTGTTTATTACGAAACAAGGCGGAAGGATGGATTGGACGTTCTATACACACGAACCATGATGCATTGCTTTGTTGCCACGAACATTCAACAGGCAATGAGAGATGAAACCGCACCCGTCGTGCATGCGTTTTTCAAAAAAAAAAAAAAAAAAAAAAGAAGCAATGGATGGAATGAAAAAAGAAGACCATGCATCGTTGCGAAGATAAAAAAGAACATCACCCATTAAGAAATTTCGCTGCGCTACCAATGCACACATTCTACTATGCATGCCACCTCTGAACAGTGGCATGCCGAAATCCAGCGGAAAAAAAAAAAACATGGGCAATAAGATGATCACTCCCACGGTACTCAAACAAACCCCGCACGCTCGTGGCGTCCTGCCCCGAACACAATCATAAACGATGGCACATACCCTTTGTGTCCCGTGAGCCCTCCCGCGTCCCACCCCCCGAAGAACCCCCCCCCCTAAAACACGCCCTCCCCCCATCCTCATGTACCCGCCATCTCAATAGGGCCTGCGCATCATCCCCTCCTCGCCTTCGCCATCACTGTCGTCTACGCGTCAACCCCCCTCGCCTTTGTCATCGCCTTCGGCATCGTCGTCGTCATCCTCGGGGGGACCTGTCCCCAGCCAATCCAACCGTTTCGCCTCCATCGGGGAGGCCAACGTGGCGTCGTGCGAGAAAGTCACCCCGCACTTAGACGCCCAATCGGGGATGTACGCAGGTGGGGGGGCGATGGTCGGAGGCGGTCTCCCCAACTTGTTCGTCATGACCTGCGCGGATTGCGTGATGTGTCGGCGGGCGTCGAACTGCCGGTTCATGGACGCCAGCAGCGTCGTCTTCGCCGTCAGTTGAACGAATMCCCAAGCGTCGTAATGCGATCTCGGATCGTCCCCCGCCATTCGCATAATCCACATCGTGGCGGAGAGCAAATACCTCATCGCCTCTGCCATCCCCTTCAGACGCTCATACGACACTCGACCGCCGTCCATAGCTTTTGTCGTGCCAACTGCGCTTGTGAAATCCCGCACCAGACGCTGGACACAAGCTTCCTGGTAAGCCGCGCCCACGAACCACAAAGGCAACTTCATGTCTACGTCCAATGTGGTGCGGAACAACATTGGGCTCACCAAACTGCACCAGTCCTCTGCTAACCACATTGCTCTAGCAATGTCCGTGGCTGCGTGATTCAACGCGTATTGGTATGCTAAGTGATACCCCCTTTGCCTGCTCTCCGACTTGAAGACCCAACCGTGGATCGCCCTGAGGGAGATTGCCTGCACTTTCAACGCCCTCTCTCTCGCCGCGTTCAGCTCTGACTCGTCCTCGATTTTGTGTTTGGGGATGAAGTTGTGTGGAAGGGAGATGCTCCGTCGAATAGCTGGAGGCTGCACTCCCCGCGCCACGGCCACGAGATACGCGCGCGCTTCTTGGATTATCCTCACTATGGCGCTCCCCTGCGTGTCGTTCCAGAATCTGTTGTCATCCTCCCAAAGTTTGGCGGCGACATCCATCGCATGTGTCGCCGCTCGTTGCCCGCGCAGCCTGTGCACCAGAGCCTCGTCGTCTTCCCCGGACGCCGCGCCATCTCCTCCCTTCGGGACTTCAANCGTTGCCCGCGCAGCCTGTGCACCAGAGCCTCGTCGTCTTCCCCGGACGCCGCGCCATCTCCTCCCTTCGGGACTTCAACCGCCTCTCCCGGGACCGCCACAGCGCCGCCGCGCGCCGCCACCGCGGGAGATCGCAACGTCCCACCTTCAACCGCTGCTTGGGAACTCCCCGCCACGTCTGCAGCCCGGGTTCGGGGGCGATTCAAAGGCGCAAGCACGCGTTGCGCAGTCTCATGCGAGGCGGCCCCTTCCTTCGTGCGGCCACCAACGTCCCTCCTTGCCACGTCTCGCGCCAGGTCGCGTGCCACGTCGACAAACACTGTTTGGTTGGCCGCTGGAACGCCACCTCCTCGCCGTGCGGTCGGTGTCCCTTCCCCCCCCTCGTTTATTCTAACCCCCCCCGCGGAGCTGACCCTCGCCTTCCTGTGCAGTGGTTCATCGTCGTCGTCGTTCGTCATCTCTTCCTCCACCATAGCCTCCTCCACAACGTCTCGTGCACTGCCAGCGGGCACGACTTGGACGACCTTCCTCTGCCTCTTCGCTTGATGCCGTCCCTTCTTCGCGGGGGCCGCGCCTTCCACGATCTGCTTCAAGGTAGCCTTCCCCCGTCCAGCTCTGAGGGAAGACATGGCGGATCCGAAAAAAGCGCCTTCGATCGATGTCGGTGGTTCGCACAGCTTGCGGACGAGTGCACCGTGCGGCGGCTGGATGATTGCAGGGCGGCGAGAATGGAAGACAAAGAATGGAACAGAGGGCTATGATTACACGGATGGATTACAGGGTGGCGAATGACGAACAGGGCGGCGACGAATGACTGCAAGGGCGACGTCGGCGAATGGCTGCACGACGAATGGCGGCAAGGGCGGCGATGACGAGCGACGGCAGGTGACGACAGGGCGACGACGACGAATGACGGCAAGACGATTGCCGGCCGACAGAGATGGCAGACGGCGCGCGTCGCAGATGGGTACCTGGTCGACGACGACAATGCCTGTTAACCAAGTTGCGCGGCGGGAGCAGGCGACGACACAACAACGCACGAAAGGCAGAGAAGAGCGAGACGAGAAAGCAGTCCACTGCAGTGCTCGTAATCCATGCGCGCATTTGAAATGTGTTTGGGGATGAGTGGCCCGTGCTCGTGATTTATTGAGCGCGGTGGACGGTGGCTGGGAGTGATGCCACGACGACCTTTCGATGAAAGTGCGACGAGTACTCTCCCCGAACGACGATGGCCTGGAGCACACTGTCGACGGGGAGTGGGAGTGCGATGTGACACCCTCCGTCCACGCAGGCTTGCAAAAAATGGATATCCTCGTGGACAATCGAAAGGGACCCTGCCCCCCGCCGCGTCATCCAGGACCCCCTCCGATAACCCACTCCCCCCC